AACCATCACCCACAGTGAGACCTGACATCCTGGGAGGGGCAGCTGCAGGAACAATTAGGGGGACACCTCCCAGAAAAAATGCAGCAACCCTCAAATCCAAAGAATTGGTTTTACCATCTGGAAATTGGATCTTGGTGCAGTGTTAGAACTTTCCAACTGCATAACTAAAGGGCTTATGACACTTCATCTACTGCTAGCTGTAACCAAAATGCCATTGTCATCAACATTTATGCTCCAACCCTTGACTCGGATGAAGATATTAAGAAAAAGGGCCAATCTGACCTTGATGAAGTCCTCACTGCCATTCAAAAAGAAGGAAGAATCATCCTTCTGGGAACTCTATTAGCTGGCTTTGTCATAACTATGATATCTGAAGTGGAACCATGAGGAAAAGCAAGGCAAATGGTGTTTTCCTGACTTCGTGGCCTCATTTTAACAAACAAAACTCTTCTGCCTGAATGACACATACAACGCCATCCTAAAGCAGTGTTGGCAGCTCCTGGGTTATCATTGTTTGTTTGTGTCAGTGATATCAGTATCACCTGATCCTCAGGAGACTGTTGTCTGCCGGACATATTGTTTACTACTTTGTTTAATAATTGTCATGCGTATAGCACCAGTACGTTGTGGCGTACAAGAGGAAGAGCACCTCAGAAGGATTTTCTCAGCCACAGGAAATATGAAAGAGGGGAATACCTTTGTAGTTTGCACAACTGATCTATCTCATCTTTTAAAGCATGACAGTTGTTGCATTCTTGAGGTCAGACAGAAGGAAATAATACCCTTTTCATCTCAAGTCTGTAGGATCATAGAATTGTATAGTACAGAAGACGCCCTTTGACTCATTGGGTTTGTACCACCAAAAAAAAACTCCAATCTACACTAAGCCCATAGCCTTGAATATTATAATAGTTCAAATCCTCATCCAAATACCTTTTTTAAAGGTTGTGAGGCTTCCCACCTGTACTACCCTAGCAGGCAGAGCATTCCAGATTTCCCATCACCCTCTGGGTGAAAAGACTTTTTCCAAAAATACCGTCTAAACCTCCTACCTTTCACTTTAAAAATATGCTCCCTTGCAATTGACCCTTTGACTAAGGGGAACGGCTGCAGCTAGAGGATATTGGTACGGTGTTAAATGAATACTTCTCAACTTTCTTTACTCGGAGAAAGGAAGATGCAAGTGCAGAACTCGAGAAAATGGACTGCGAAAATCTTAAGCAGATTGATACAAGAAGTGATTTGCCTGATACACTTCAATAAATCTGCCCCCTCTCAAACGCTCTTATACTATGACTATCCCAATTAAAGTCGAGGAAATTGAAATCCCCTAATATAATTACCCTGTTGTTATTTTTACACTCCTTAATGAATTGACTACATACCTGCTCCTCAATTGTCTGCCAACTGTTTGTTTGGGACCTGTAATACACTCCTATCAGTGTGACTGCCCCTTTTTTATTCCTGCACTTTACCTACAAAGCCTCATTTGATGACTCTTCCAGGATATTGTTCCTCCTTACTGCAGTAATTGACTAATATTGAGATACCACCTCTTCTTTCGCATCCACCCCTGTCCTGCCTGAAGACCTTGTACCCCAGAATGTTAACAGACTCGTCTTTCCCTCAGCCATGTCTCTGTAATGGCAACTACATCACAGTTCCATCTATAGTCCACACCCTCAATTCGTTGTCTTATCTCTCATACTCCTAGCATCGAAGTAGAGGCCATCAAGCTCCCCTTCTTCCCTTGAGACACCACATGGCTGAATTTGCTTTGCCTTGGTTCCTTTTCTGAGTGAAGCTGCATTAGTATTGAACTAATGGAGCGACTCCTGATCCTGCTAAACTAGTTCGAACTTCTCCCAGCAGCACTAGCAAATGCTGCTACAAGAATATTGGTCCCATTCTGATTTAGATGCAGACTGTCAGGATGAGCGCTTAAAATTTTGATGTGAGCAAAAATCAGCTGGATTACCATGAGGGCTGCAAGCTTTGTTTCTCATCTGTTTCATTGTTTTGCAGCTTTCCTTGGTGGTTCACTCATACATTCTGGTAGAATCTTAAGGGGTATAACTTGGAGAACAATCCAGTAATTGTCTCCTGATGCTACGACTGTAATAGTCCTGAATAAAGGATCTGAATCAGGCACCTTTTAAAATAAAGAAAATGTCAGGCCAAGTTGCGTGATAGTACTGATACCATTTATGATCTACCTGATGGTGGTTATTCACCTCATCAATCATTAATTACCCTCAATACAACCTTGGTAAAAAAAAAAATTCCATAGCCACCTCCAAAGCAATGCATGAGTGTGTTTTGCAGATAACTATATGTACTGTGCACCAGATTTACAAAACACTCTTGATCACTTCAGTTCTACATATACAAAACTCTGCCTATCCATGAATGCTGTCCAAACCAAAGCATTGATCTCTGCCAACACCCACTCAGTGAAATATTTTACCTCGCATTGGCCGTGGCTTTCTACAGTCTTTGGCAGCAGTTGTTTGATAACAAAGATCTTGGCGAGTCAACAAAAGCTCTAGTGTACAGAGTAGTTACTGTAACTGCGCTGCTGTCCTGTAGTAACACCTGGACTGTGTTTCAATGATGTATCAAGAGGGCTAGAGAAACTCCACCAATTCAATGAGAGGACCGTGAAGCAAATGCTAATCGCAGAAACAGAAATTGCTCACACTGTGTTCTGAAGAAGAGTCACCGGACTCAACGTTAACTCCATTTTCTCTTCACGTACGCTGCCAGACCTACTGCATTTTGCCAGTAATTTCTGTTTGTGTTTCAGATTTCCAGAAAAGCAGTTATTTGTTGTATTTGAATGAACAAATACTAGTGTTCCTGTCAAAGCCAGATCTGCAAGCATTCAGCGAAAATTCCTGCAAAATCACCTCCCAAACTGATCTTGCATGCTCAGATGGACAAAGCTCTGTGGATGGACACAGAAATTGCTTCAAAGACACTCTGAAGCTCTTCTTGAAATGCAATGGTGGCACTGATTTTGATAACAGTGAAATACTTGCTACCAAATGTGTCAATCAACCTGGCTCATGCTTTGAAACTCAGTGCCTCAGTAGTAAGGCAGAGCTCTCTACTTCAGATGCCAGCAAAAAGCATAGGAGCAGGAGTAGGCCTTTTAACCTGTGAAGCTCACTTTGCCATTCAATATGATCATGGCTGATCGTTTATCTGCAAGAGTTGTGAATCCTTGAGCATCCACAGCCCTCCAGAATAGAGGTTTCCAGTCACTGAATATATGCAAGACTGAGATCAATAAGTTTTTGGCCGCTGGTAGCATCAAGGACTGTAGGGATGGGTTAGGAAGGTGGAGTTCTTGTAAAGGTTTCTGTATGATTTTTATTGAATAATTGAATGAATGCAATGCCATTCTGTTCTTATTTCCTATATGTTTCATTCACATTTCAGCGCTGTCACCATGCTTGCTATTTGCAACAGCATGATAATATGAAGAGGAACTGATGCTGATATTCTTACTAGCTCCTGAATCATTCTTCACATCAGGGACAATTTTTGAGGTTGAGGATTTGTTTAAAAACAATTGGCTGCATTGTTGAGTTTCTTTCCTGCCTTAGTCACTACGCATAAGTGTCTTGAAGTAAAGGTTCAGGAAATAGTTTGGCTGTAGTCACTTGAGCCTATGAATTCAACTTGGAAATTCTCATCGGTCACTAAACACTGAGTACTGGAAATGCTTTAAAGCTCTCTTACTGTGCATAGGTTCAGGTTTGCAAATGGCACTGATGCCCATTATTTTAATCTTCTCAAAGAATGACTACTTTCTACCCTGGAGATATCTATCGTTTCTTTAAAAACAAGATTTTTGAAGACTGTGGATATAATTCTGCTTGAGTCATCTCCAGTCTGTAATGGATCAGCAGATCATAACCAGGGTGCCTATAGGTATGCTACAATTGGCCTCAAAAACAAAGAAATTCATCACTTCCAATGGTTATATGGTCATTGCTGCTGGAAAGTCTATTCATGAACTCTAAAGGAAGGAGAAGGGGAGGTTTAGTTCTGTAAACTAATCTCCAATTGCATAGCTACAGCTTGTACATGAACAACAACAACAGATTATATAGAATCCCTACAGTGTGGGAACAGGCCCTTCGGCCCAACAAGTCCACACTGAGCCTCAGAGCATCCCACCCAGAACCCATCCCCCTATACCACTCATCCCTAGGGGCAATTTAGCATAGCCAATCCACCTAGCCTGCACATCTTTGGACTGTGGGAGGAAACTGGAGCACCCGGAGGAAACCCATGCAGACACGGGGAGAACTTGCAAACTCCACACACACAGTCACCCAAGGTTGGAATCGAAGCCAGCTTCCTGGTGCTGTGAGGCAGCAGTGCTAACCATTGAGCCACCGTGCCGCCCCAAATGTAAAGCCAGAAAAGGGAGAAACATCAAATTAAAGCAAAGTACTCCAGATGCTACAGAAAGTACTGGAGAAACACGGCAGGTCTGACAGTGTCTGTAGAGAGAGGACAAACCAGTTAACATTTTGAGTCTTAAAAAAACTGTTCTTCAGAACCAGCAACAGTCCGATTGGACTTGAAACAATAACGCTCTTTCTCTTTCCACACGTGCTGCCAGACCTGATGAGTTATTCCAGCACTTTGTTTATAAAGCTAAGGGAGAAACTTTGGCCTGAGCTAGCCCTGACATTTTTATTTGACCTTTTGTTTTAGCTTGCCTGACATTTTCCAATTTTTGTTTTTTTTTGTTTGACTTGCACCAAAATGAAGTTCCAGTACAAACCTGCACCTTCAGGAGAAGAAGGAACTGTAACAATAAGTGCTACAAACAAATCTGGAAATGTACAGTATCTAAAAGCATCTGGACAGAAGAAAAACAAGTTTAAAAAAAACTCATTTGATTCTGATTTATAATGCTTCCAGCATTTTTTACCTAATTCACCTGACAAACAAGTCAAATTCTGATGTTCCTTCCTCAGGTAAATGAGGGACACTGGAAGTGGGGCGAATACGTTGTCCAAGTACACAGTGCATTCTTCACTGGCATTTATGGCATGTGGAACCTTTACGTCTTTGCGATCATGTTTCTGTATGCTCCATCCCACAAGTGTTACAGTGATGCTGATCAGTCAAATGGTGCGTATTGTTTTTATTTTAAAAGTCAAATGCTGAATACCTGAAGACTTGTTCCTGTGGAACGTACTTGCTGAAAGGCTATTGAGAGCTTCTATATGTCGAAGCTCTATGCAATTGTATGTTTCCCTACTGATTGATCTGGCAAGTCTTACTATCTGATGTGGTACGGGCCATAAAGGAAATTATCACCTGCCCTTGCGAAAGTGATAAAAGCTCAAAACAAAGCTTATAGGAATGCTGCACTGGCTTCTATTGATGCATAATTTCTTCCATTCTAAAGTCTGATTCAGATGTCTAATTTTTTTTCTTTTCAATACAATTAGTGAACAGTTGAACACCAACAAAATTATTTAGTCTTATAGGAATAGTGACCAGTTAACATCCTCCCTCATCAAATGTGCTCAATATATTCACTGTGTATAGCTCCAGTTAGGTGATGATTACAAATGTGTTGCTCTTTGATTTTAAAAAAAAGGTGTTTACTAATACTATTGGTCACCACATCCAGTGTCCAACTATCAGTGTTAAAGGTGTTAGTTTGTTGCAGGTACAAACCATTTACTTCCATTTTCCTCAATGTTGTTCATAAACTAGAATGTTGTTAAAAACTCAAGTGGTTCATTCATTCCTTTCTAGGAATTGTAGTTTGGCCTTTTCCCAGTCCCACACCAAGGTGGCTGACTCCTACTTCAGCGTGAGGTGACCTGGTAAGGCACTGGTTGTATCCTATTACTATAAACTACAGCAGTTAAAGAAGAATGCATGATACCCATCTTCTCAGAAAAGCCAAGAACCTAGGAATGTAAAGTCAAGTACTGGCCCTGCCAGAATTGTCCACCTCCTGAGTATGCTCTTTACACACTCATCAACTCCTGAATTAACAAACAGACATATCAGTGAGCAAGCACCAAAGAAATACAGAAACTAGCAGGTCAGAATTGATTGCAACAGTTATTACTAAACTCAAATCATATTAAAATCATTTTAGAAATACTTTCAACCATCATCTTTGAAACCTTAACACCACCACCCTCATAATGCAAGGTTTGAAAATGTGGAAGACTTCTTAAACATTACATTTGCTCATTAAACATTTTCATATGCAGTAATTCTTCATTTACTGTCATAGTTTAAGTTCCTGAAAAGAGCATCTTTAAATGAAGCAACATTTAAGAGAACCAGATATTCACTTTACAGCCAGTATAAAAGCTGAGTTAGGTTCTGTTGGATAAGAAAGGTCCTTTTTTATTTTAAAAAAAAAATGAAAACGTTATATCTTGTAAGTTAAAATATTTGTTAAATTCCCATCCACAGAGATAGTAAGAACTGCCGATGCTGAGTAGAGATAATAATGTGGAGCTGGAGGAACGCAGCAGGCCGGGCAGCATCAGAGGAGCAGGAAAGCTGACGTTTCGGGTTGGAACCCTTCTTCAGAAATGGGGAGGGGGAAGGGAGCTCAGAAATAACTAGAGGGAGGAGGGTAGGGGCTGTGAAAGGTAGGTGGGATGGTGTTAAGTGAGTGAAGGTAGGGAGTGGTGGGGATTGCTCAGTGGGATAGGTGGGGCGGAGAGGTAGGAGAGAAGATGGACAGGTTGTGTCAGGTCAAGGAGGCAGGGATGAGAGGGAGGGTTGGAAATGGGATGAGGCTGGGAGTGGGGAGATTTTGAAACAGTCAAGGTAAGCGGAGATGAGTTCAGTAGGGCAGGAGCAGGCAGGTTTGTGGATTTTGGGAAGGAGATAGAAACGAGCGGTGCAGGGTTGGGGAACAGAACGTGCAGCCCTCCACTCCAATCCTAACCTCACCATCAAACCCGCAGATAAGGGAGGCTCAGTAGTGGTATCGCGCACTGAACTTTACATAGCCAAGGTCAGGCGCCAACTTCTTGACACCTTTTCCTACCGCCCTCTTGACCATGAACCCAGCCCTGACCACCAAACCATCATCTCTCAAACCATTCATAACCTCATCACATCAGGTGACCTCCCACAGCCTCCAACCTCATCGTTCCCAACCCCGCACCATCCATTTCTGTCTCCTTCCCAAAATCCACAAACTTGACTGCCCATCCAACCCATTGTCTCTGCCTGGTCCTGTCCCACTGAATTTATCTCTGCTTACCTTGACTCTGTTTTTTTCCCCCCTAGTCCAGGAACTCCCCACCTATGTCTGGGACACCACCCACACCCTCTACCTCCTCCAAGACTTCCAATTCCTTGACCCTCAATACCTCATCTTCACTATGGATATCCAGACCTTGTATACTTGTATCCCCCAATGTGCAGTTGGCCTAAAAGCCCTTCGCTTCTTCCTCTCCCGCACGCCCAACCAGTCCCCCTCCACTAACACCCTCATCCGCTTAACTGAGCTCGTCCTTACCCTTATCAACTTCTCCTTTAACTCCTCCCACTTCCTACAGACTAAGGGGGTGGCCCTGTTCCACTGCAACACTGGCACTATCCCCCGCCTCTTCCTCCGCTACATCGATGACTGTATCGGCACTGCCTCATGCTCCCACGAGGCATTTGAACAGTTCATCAACTTTACTAACACTTTTCACCCAACCTCAAATTCACCTGGACCATCTCCAATACCTCCCTCTCCTTCCTGGATCTCTCTGTCTCCTTCTCTGGTGACCGCCTCGAATTTGACATCTATTTCAAGCCCACCGACTCCCACAGCTACCTAGATTACACCTCCCCTCACCTACTGTCCTGCAAGAATGCAATCCCCTACTCCCAATTCATCCGCCTCCGTCGCATCAGCTCCCAAGATGGGGCATTCCACGCCCGCACATCCCAGATGTCCTCCTATTTCAAGGACCGTAACCTCCCACCTCCAGTGAGCGAAAATGCCGTCAACCGTATCTCTTGCATTTCTCGCACCTCTGCCCTCACATCCCCTCCTCCCAACAAAAAATAAAGACAGCATTCCCCTTGTTCTCACATATCACTCCACCAACCTCCGCATCCAATGTTTCATTCTCTGCCACTTCCTCCACCTACAATCCGACCCCACAACCAAAGATATATTTCCCTCCCCACTCCTATCTGCCTTTCATGGGGAAAGCTCTCTCCGCGACTCCCTCGTCCGCTGCACACTTCGCACTAACCTCACCACCCCCGGCACCTTTCCCTGCAACTGCAGGAAGAGCTACACCTTCCCCCTCACCTCCCCCCCTCACCTCCGTTCAAGGCACAAAACAAATGTTCCACATTAGACAGGGGTTCATCTGCACATCCGTCAACTTGGTCGACTGCATCAGTTACTCAAGATGTGACCTCCCCTACATCAGTGAGACCAAGCGGAGGCTCGGAGACCGTTTTGTTGAGCATCTGTGCTCTGTTTGCGACAAATGACAACATCTTCCGGTCGCGAACCATTTTAACTCCCCCTCCCACTCCCCAGGTGACATGTCCATCCTGGGCCTCCTCCAGTGTCACAATGATGCCACCCGCAAACTGGAGGAGCAGCACTTCATATTCTGCCTCGGGACCCTACAGCCGGATGGCCTAAACATAGATTTCACCAGTTTTAAAATCTCTCCACCCCTGGCCTCATCCCAAGTCCAACCCTCCCTCTCATCCCCGCCTCCTTGATATGACACAACCTGTCCATCTTCTCTCCCACCTATCGGCCCCTCCCACCTCACTGACCAATCCCCACTACTGCCTAACTGCACTCTCCTATCATCATCCTACCTACCTTCCCCAGCCCCACCCCTCCTTTCTCTATTTATTTCTGAGCTCCCTTCCACCTCCCCATTTCTGAAGAAGGGTCCCGACCTGAAACATCAACTTTCCTGTTCTTCTGATGCTGCCTGGCCTGCTGTGTTCCTCTAGCTCCACACTGTGTTATATCTGTTAAATTCCAATATTGTGTTTATTAAATAACTGAAATATAAAAATATATAAGTAAGTTGCTGCCTCTACAGTGGCTCATTGGCTCTTCCGCTGCCTCCAAGTCACTGCCAATGGTCCTTGCTGACCTACTGTCTCATCACTTCCCTACTTGCCACATGCCTGTCCCAAAGTCTTGCTAAAATGTGAGGTCCTGCATTTTGCAAATTAGGGCAGGACTTGTACGCTTAATGGTAAGGTCCTGGCGAGTGTTGCCGAACAAAGGGCCTTTGGAGCACAGGTTCATAGTTCCTTGAAAGTGGAGTCACAGGTAGACAGGAAAGTGAAGAAGGCATTTGGTACGTTTGCCTTTATTAGTCAGTGCATTGAGTATAGGAGTTGGGAGGTCATATTGCAACTACACAGGACATTGGTTAGGCCCACTTTGGAATAATAAATTTAATTATGGTCTCCCTGCTATTGGAAGGATGTTGTGAAACTTGAAAGGGTTCAGAGAAGGTTTACAAGGATGTTGCCAGGGTTGGGGGGGTTTGATCTGTAGGGAGAAGCTGAACAGGCTGGCGCTTTTCTCCCCCTGGAGTGTCAGAGACTAAGAGGTGATCTTATTGAGGTTTATAAAGTCATAAGGGATATGGATAGGATGAATAACCAAGGTCTTTTCCCCAGGGTCGGGGAATCCAAAAGTAGAAGGCATAGGTTTAAGGTGAGAAGGGAAAGATTTAAAAGGGACCTAAGCGACAACTTTTTCACGCAGAGGATAGTGCGTGTGTGGAATGAGCTGCCAGAGGAGATGGTGGAGGCTGGTACAATTACAACATTTAAAAGGCATCTGAATGGGTACATGAATGGGAAAGGTTCAGAGGGATGTGGGACTAGATTAATTTAGGATATCTTGTTGTCATGGACGAGTTGGACCAAAGGGTCTGTTTCCATACTATACATCTCTATGACTACTCTGGAAAGAGGCAGGATGGGCAGCTTTAAGCTGTAGCAGTGAGCTGCAAGCTGTAGAGGTAGAGAATGGGAGGTACAAATTACTGGGTCATGTGATCCAGCATCAGACCTAGTATGAAATAATGTTCAAACAAAACTCTGATACTAACTGCAAAAATGGACCTTCTAATTCAAATTTTACTTTGATAAGCCACAAAGCTCACCTCAGCCAATCAGCAATGAAACTTTGTACGCAGAACACGCTGTCTCATGGGAGAAGTGAAATCGAAGGGCACAAACAAAACTCTTTCTGTCCTGGCCTAATAGTATTCTGTATTTAATGCATTTTCTAGGTGATCTTGGAGTCAGTGGTGGTGAGGAGCTGCAGTTGACCACCACAATCACCCATGCTGATGGACCAACTGAAATCTATAGACTGGCTGGCAAGGAAGCACAAGAGTAATAAGTGGAAAGGAATTGCAAAAAAATCATCCCAGCAATGGAAGTCAGACGAGATTTTCCCATGGAATGGGAAAACTGTATTACATTGCTCATTATGTGTGGACATTCCGTGATAGGTACTTGTGCTGCATTTCTGTTGCTGGGGAGATGGGATTACTACTTCCAATAATGTTACCACAACTTGTGATGTCTGTGGAAGATTCTAGAACTGGCTTTCATAAAATGAGATTTTTAAGTCTGAAAGAATCCATATGGACATTTTACTTGTCAAAGCAAATTACCATCACTGTAGTTTATATCTCACTGACATTACTTTCTGTAAGTATATAAAATATTGTAGTGTTGCAGCTGTCTGTAGGCAACCACCTCCAGTGCTCAAGGGATTGGTCCTAAGTGAGTGTGCAAGAGGGAAAGAAAAAACTTGCATTTAACAATGCCTTATCAAATCTCCCAATGCCCCAAAGCATTTTGCATCTAACAAATTGCATGGAGATAATGGATTTAGTTCCAATCTTGTGAGGAAGGGCATTAGTGCAGATGTAACTCCGTATAGACATCAATATTATTTTCAGTACACTCCCTTCTGCTTACACTACAAAAGCATTTTTACAGCTCTGATTTTCTGCGTACACAAACAGTTGCTTTTGGTGATATTAAATACATATTATTTTGAAAGAGGAAGAGAAACCTATAAGAAGTTGAATGTGTTATTTAATTTGTTGAGATCCTCCTTGCCAGTAAATACACATGCTAGGCTACGCTATATACAAATAGACAGAAGACTTTGTGCAACTGAACCAGCATTGTTCATATTGCAAATTGTATGTAGCATTTTTCATCTATAGTCCACTTGGTGCTCATATTGTACCTGAGCTTCCATTCATGGCTATGAGATGTTGCTAGAGCTGATGTTCTGTGTGACTCCCTTGGTGTCCAATTAAAGGAAATAAAAGAATGCTTTTAGGTGGCAGACTTATTCAACAATTACACCATATCATGATCAATCTGGAATTTACTTTCCAATTTCACTTTGGGGCATGTATCAGAAATGCAAATAAGGAATTGAAGGTGCAGACCACCATGTTAAGAGTCACATTTGAGCAAGTCACTAATCGGGTATATGACCCCATCTACAAAAATTTTAATGAATTTATTATACAGGATGCCTTGTTCTTTATCTTTCCCTTTTTTTCCTTCCTTCTCTATTAAAGATGCTGAGTCCATTACCTCTAGAGGTCAGCAATCCTCGGTACTTCATCTACATTCTGCTTTGAATAGGTTTTGGCAGACCTTTAAGCAACCAGGCAAGGGTGCAACAACAATCTGATCATATCAACAAATATATAATTTTCAGCAAAGATCTTTTAAAGGTTTTCCCTCCTCTTAGCCCAGACTGCCAAGGTCAGTGGAGACATGGAATCCGATGCTGTAGCTGAGATTAACTAAAGGGAAAGGGCTAGTATTGCAGATCCTTTTGGTTCAGTAATACCATATCATTAATCTCCCATGTGTACCTGGTGCTTTTAATGATGTTCTCATCTTGTTCCCAAAAAGAAAAATCTGACGTCAAGTGAATAGATATAATTTAGGACTTGATATCAACAAATGAGAGCAAAGACAACAGTCAAATATTGAAACCTAGAAGTTGCATAAATTAAGCATCAGGCACTTGTATCTTGCTGTAGGGATATATTGCACAATACAATATCTTAAACATTAAAAGTTGAAAAAGTATTTACTCCAATGGCCACATTTTTATTTAAAAGGGACATGGCATGTCCTTTCTTTGACTCAAAACACTTGAGATGAGAGTTCTACTCCTTTTTTGAACGTGTAGTTATTTAATGATATAACAATGTAGAATTATTATTTTAGGTGAAAGGTGGCTAGGATTTTTTAACTTGGAAGTAGATTTGCTTGTATGCTAATTTTAAATAAAGTTTGTATACTGTGTTATTTGTGTACAGCCTCTGTGACTGATCAGACTGTTGAAAGCTGGCAGGTTATTGGTTTCTAGCCCTCCCCTGCTGCAATCTCACCACGATCTCTTTGAAAGTACTGGAGTAGATATCGAAATTGTTGCCCAAGAATGGCCAGATAATTACTTCAATTAGGACCAAGCAGCTCCTATAACAGTTGATTAATTCACAATAGCAGTTTTGTATTGGATCATGTGGGAGGAAAAAACAGCTAATATTTCCTGTTCTGTTAGATTAATTGTTACTTTTATAGCCATTGTCTTTTGTACCTTTGTGATTCATACCAACTGAGAAGAATTCGTAAATATTTTTCATCTCTTTTAAGATTTGTCCAGTTCTGGCATTGACATCAAAGAGATTATTTGAGACCTGTGTGAACGAAGTGGTCTCCTCCACATCATTTTGTAATCGTCATCCATATCATCCTCCTCATTGCTCTTTATCCTATGGGGCTGTCCTTCTGTACCTACTAGCCTGCCTATCATACATCTGTACCTATGTTTATTTTTCCATTTGTACATAATATTGAACTGAACTAGACCATGTGAATCCTTGCTAACTTGTTGGAACCAAAGCTCAGTTTCAAAGATGTCAATTTATCCAACACAATTGTTGACTATTTTGTGCATCCTAGCCTTTTTAAAATCTTTTTACCCCATTCCCATTTTAATCACAAATAAACTGATGGCCCTTCCTAAGCAAAAGTGATATCAAATAAATTATACAGCAGTTGTTAAAATTAAGGCAGTCAATTTAGTGATTGCAATAGCTGTTAAATTGGTCCATACCATAAGAAATCTGCTTGGTTTCCTTTACCATTCAATGTCTGGATTAATAAAAACATTTATGCTACATCATTCTTATACAAGTCTCTTTAAAGCCAACTCTTTCAAAGTGATATAGAACCTGTCAGAAATCCAGCAGTCAGTGCTGAGCTATGTGTCAAACTAGTGCAATCTAGGCCATTTCTTTTTGGCAAAATAAACAGCCTATAGTATTTCACTATCTTTCTGAAAAATATCCCACTGAATTCGAATCTATTTTTTCAAATACTCCTACTGCTCCATCTGTTTTGTTCATGCTGCAAGAGCAATTTTGATTCCTAAACTGATCCCTTTATGAGCTTTGGATGTGGATACAATACTCCTACTTTCTTCCTACTGAAGGTGGCAACTCCTCAGTGTTACAATTCCACTGGCACTGGCATTCCATCCATTGTTCGGTTGATTTTTTTTTTCACATAAAACCAGAGAATCTATCTCTGAAGGGTATTCAACCACAGCAGGTTCTAACTTTCTGTTCCCTGATTGCATGCACTTTTCAGCAGAGGCTGTTAGAGGATGCAGTCCCTTCTGACTCTCCACGTCCTTTTGCCTGACTCTGAAATGCTGTGTCAATTGTTGCACTCCAATTATTGCCTCCTGTGATCAGCTAATTCAGCTGGGACCTGATTGAACATTCCGGAGACATCTTACTGAGTGCAACATCAGATCATGTGATTTTTAAACTAAGCCACTGAAAGTGCCATTTAATTTTTACACCCTACTATATCCTCTTGTTAATATATCTGTAAAATCTACAAATCCAACTCTTGAATGATGCATCCCCATCAAGCTAGTCTGCAGCGGAAAGGAACAAAACTACACAAAAGCAATTTCAAGCAAGTCAAAACGGAAACATGTAATTTCATGTGCAACTTTTAAGTCCTAAAATGTCAACCATTAGTACAAATATAAAGATAGAAATAGTGCCTGGCATATATACCGAATAAGAATGGTTGAGTTCAGCTACAATCCGGCATGAAAGGTTCTGTTACTCAAGTGTGTTTAAAGAACTGGCAGAAACCAGAATAATTGAAGCCATCTATCTTGGTCTGGTTCACTTTGTGTTAAGTTTGAAATGTGACAGCAAAACAAATTTGATCAAGAGTTTGTGCAACTGATGAATATAAAATGATGAGAGAAAAGGCGGTCTTCTTCATTACTGGACAGTAACATTTGTCAGCACAATCATGCTATGAAAATACTGCATTAGAAAAATGTTTGACATGTTTTCCTGTGTTTATATAAGCATGCCAGTTCTTAGAGATGCAGCTCTCCAGAAGCAGGTGCCTCAGCCACCTTGCTGTTCTTAATATGGAAACTGAGACCAACAGTTCTGGTAAGTGATTTAAACTTAAATGATGCTCAGGTGCAATTTTCAGTTGCAAAAATGTACCTGTTTTGAAATAAGCTAACTTGGCATTGATCAGGAAATGAACCGCAAATTTCAAGTGTGTATTGGACAATTTTAATTCTCAGGTAGGTGGCAATTAACATTCAAACTAATTATCTGCCCTACAACCATCAGGAGTTTACAGCCTCTGATTTTCACCTGCTTTTATTCAGTGAGTATTACCATCTAAAGCTATCAATTTGGGAATATTGATGATGTTATCTAAGATTCCAGATTGGTTCCTTCTTCTGAAATTCTAACTAGGTGAACATAGAAGGAAACATCAGTGAATTTTCCACCAGGCCAACCCATTCTATGAGCTTATCCGAGCCATCTGAGGCTCAAAAAGGTATTTTTCTTGTACGACTGGCCTGACGGGGTAAGCAAAAGAAAGGCTTGTGCCTATCCTGTCAGAATCTCGGCATTCGTTCCCAAATGTAGGGTCCTCTGTTGGGCAACCAGACAGCCAATCCGACCATTTAACTGTCATCAGCTTTCGGCCTCTGGGATTATCAATTTTTCACCAGTTCTGCCTGTTTCCTGCCCAGAATAAGTACAAAATCCACCCATTGTATTAAGATGAGGTCCATGCATGAAATACTTTTGAAGCAAAATGCTATTACTAATTTGCATTGCTGTCCACCCACCCAGATCTAGCGTTGTAATTGAGCCTATTAAGCTCATTCCACAGGGGGTGACCATTTACCAACAGAGCTGTTGGGCAACACCAGAAAGTGTATTTAGTACGGTGCACCCAGAAATTCCTGTTGACTTCAGGTATCAAGACCACCTAATATAAAATTGGGTTGGAATAATACCTGCCTCCTTTTACTTGGCACTTTCATGGTCTATGATTCCAGAATTCGGTATTGACTGTCTGGTGGAGGTCATTGAGCTCTGACTAAGAATGAGAAAGCTGAAATGTTTTTTTCACTTTTCAAGTCAAAAGATGCTAAAGCCAATCATAGTGTCTCATTGTCACTGAGATTTGGTTAACTCAGAACAGATGAAGGAACCAATCTGGAATCTTAGATAACAAGGTATAGAGCTGGATGAACACAGCAGGCCAAGCAGCATCAGAGGACCAGGAAAGCTGACGTTTCAGGTCTGGATCCTTCTTCAGAAATGGGGGAGGGGAAGGGGATTCTGAAATAAATAGAGGGGGAGGCGGATGGAAGATGGATAAAGGAGCAGATAGGTGGAGAGGAGACAGACAGGTCAAGGAGGTGGGGATGGAGCCAGTAAAGGTGAGTGTAGGTGGGGAATCTTTCCAGCTTGCATGGTTCAGTACTACACTAAATGATGCATTTTCCATTCAGCCTCTCTGGTTGCTGGTCAGGTATCTCTTTTGCAGGAGTTTATTGCAACTGGGAAAATTTAAGAATGCTCAAACTTACAAACACATTGACTTTGGAAGTAAAGCAGAATTTCCATTTTTACAATTCCAAATCTTACAATAAATGTGCCAAGTAATCTTGTAAATTTATTCATTATTGCAAAATGTTTCATTTCCTGTTTTTGTATTCCAATGCCACCTGCTCCAGTGTTTAATATTCTGAATGAATCTTAAAGGGGGTATTGCTGGTCCCTCACATAGTACATTCTTGCAAAAGGAAAACCATAATGATGCTTGTTAATGATAATCCATATGCTAAAGAAAGGAATTGGCCCTTGCAACATGTGATTTGTTAATATGGCAGCAGCATCCAAGTTTTAGCCTTTGTGTGCTATTAAGGTACCTTTCGGATCCCTGAAGCAAAATTTAAATCTTAAGTTAAATGATATTGATAGATCTACATGTTCTAATTTATGAATTCTGCACCAATGCATCAAATGTGCTTAAATACAGCAGCTGTAGCCCAATGGAATTGAAACAAAATAAGGGAACAAATGAAATATGTGACACAATCATCGTGACTTCCTTCAGCTTCATGAGAGGTTGAAAAGAAGCAAATGGCCCAAAGTCGATTGGTTGGCAAAAGCACAAAGGAGAACAATACATAATGCACTCCAACTAGAAACGACCAATTTGGCCAGTCCCATTTTGTACAATATATTTTCAATGTTACCAGTTATACTATTTGTATGGAGCTAAATCATAAAGCCCAACTTCACTTTCTGCCCAGAACTGACTAGGCTAATCTCCTTTGCAATTCCCTCTCCATAAACCTCTCCACTTCTCTACTTCACCTTCTTCCTTTATGTTGCTCCGTAAAACCTACCTATCTAACCAAACCTATTGGCTGTTATACCTTAGTATTGCCTCTTGTGTCTTATTTTGCTTAATACTTTTCTGCAGTGAAGTGCTTTGGCACATTTGACCTCATTAAATGCATAATTTAAATCATATTGTTGTTGATACCAATACCCAGAGTCCTGTGAATGAAAGCCCAATGGAATGCAAAGGAAAGCATTTGCTAAAAGCCCCTGGTGAAAGGGCATTTGACTTCCAAGGCCTGAATTGAACTCTGTTTGCCACACAGGTGTAGAATAATACCTTGGTGAGGATACCGACGGAGAGCGGGTTCCTCTAGAACTATGATTAAATAATGTAATTATAAACAGGAAAGAGTGGTTCTGGGAGGCTAGTGTAGACATGTTCTCTGAAAACCCACACAAATACATAAATTCTTTTTAGGGAGTAACAAGTTTTTTTTCTAGGACACTTCTTCGTAGCTTTTACATACACTTAAACCTGTAATATCACCAAATTGAGCTGCATGAAACACAGGCCTGGTTTGAATGCAAATTATTATGAAA